CTTTCTTCATTTCCAGTTTCTCGATTTATTCATTTTTTTCTTTTACCCTTTTTCTTTTTATTTTTGTTTTTCCCCATTTCTCAGTCTCTCATCTCTCCACTCCAATAGCAAGCTCCCTCAGCACTCTTTTTTGTTTGTGTGTATGTTTTTGGCTCCTGTTCCTCTCTCCTCTCTCTCATCTTCCCCATGCCCATCTAAGCTCCACACATCACAGTCTACCCCCTACTTCCTACCCACCTGCACTGTGCACTGAACATCACACTCCAAAGGAGCACAAGCATGGCCTACTGGAACCTGCCCGGCACTGATTCCCGGTCGGCACTGTCAGCCCTGGAACGTGCCACAAACAACCCATCCCAGCAACTCCCCTTCAGCTGGACTTGCCCTGCTGTACCATACCTGACTGACTGACCCTGCCCATTGAAGAAGGAGGTAAAAATTATCATGCCTGCAGATGAGCAAACAACAAAGAATGCACAGCCCGCCTGCTCAGACATAACCAAATAAAACAAAAAAGCAGGAAGAAACAAACAATCTACAATCAATACATGAGGAAAATAACCACTGAATGCCCTGAAGACAGCAGACAATATCAAAACATTTACAAAAACAGGACGGGATGGTTCCAGTAGGTGTCCAAAATAAAACACCAGATGACCTTCCAGTAGAAGAAAAGGCACTAGACCTAACTGATAGGGAATTCAAATCTCTAATATTCAGAATTATCAAAGAATTGAAGCAAAAAGCAGACAAAAATGAGGAAAAAATAGACAAATTCATGGAAAAGGCAGACAAATTCATGGAAAATACAGACAAAAAATGGAATATTTCAAGAAAATAATACAGGAACAAACTGCTAAAATAAATTCACAGCTAGAAATCATATAAAAACAACAAGTAGAAATCCAAAATATAAACAACAAGATTTCAGAAATGGACAGTGTCATAGAAGGGCTGAGGAGCAGGTCTGAAACGATGGAAGACAGGATCAGCGAAATTGAAGACAAATACTTGGATACAATTCTGTTTGAGGAAAAATCAGAAAAAAGAACAAAGAAAAATGAAGAAACCCTGAGAATTATGTGGGATACGATTGAAAGCAAAACTCTGCAAGTGATCGGAGTTCCAGAACAGGGGGAGAAAACAGAAGACACAGAGAAGATCATTGAAGAATTGCCAACAGAAAACCTCCCCAATATCATGAAAGATGAAAAGCTGACCATCCAAGAAACTCAACAAACCCCATATAGGATAGACCCCAAAAGAAAATCACCAAGGCATGTCATAATCACACTCACTAAAACCAAAGACAAATAAAGAATCCTGAGAGCAGCTTGAGAAAAACAAAAAGTCACATACAGAGGAGAAACAATAAGACTAAGCTCGGATTATTCGGCAGAAACCGTGCAGGCAAGAAGGCATTGGGATGACATATATAAAACCTTGAAAGAAAAAAATTGCCAGCCAAGAATAATATATCCTGCAAAACTCTCGTTCAGATATGATGGTGAAACTAAGTCATTTCCAGATAAACAGAAATTAAGGGACTATGTAAAAACCAAACCAAATTTACAAGACTTATTAAAGGGAGTCCTTCGACTTGAGAACAAACAACATCAGACCACAGGCTGAATA